GAAAGGCAGATGTGGCAGTGGAAGGTGTCAAAGCAGTTTGAAGAAGAAACAAAGTAAAGAACAAATAAAAAAACCCAAAAAACGATTAATCAATTATTAAATTAGTCATCAATTATTTTAATAATCGATTAGTCGTTGATTGATCGACTGATGGTGGCAGCCCTACTCTGAAGTCAGGTTTTATTCTAAACTCATTTAGACTCATTTAGTATTAATCTGATTAAATCCCTGAGATTCTTCAACACAAAGAGTTTTTCTGAACTGTGTAGTTTTGGTTACATTTTTTTTTGTTCTGTTACACAACGTTATAGTTATTTCCTAATTTTKAAAGGATCAGTTTGAAACTAAATGAAGACTCAGAATCATCAAACGTTTAAATATGAGGTTTAATTTAAATATTTCATCATAAGAAGGCTTCCCTCCTTGTTGATGAAAACTATAGTTGCTTCTAAATGAAATTCTGTCATCTTTTTTTCTGGGAGCAGAAACGTTTAATCAGCTAATTTCTCTGAAYTCGCAACAGAAAGTTTTTCTTTTACTTTACAAAGAGGGGAAAAAAGTCAGAATTAGAATTTGATGTGGAAAAATAAGTTTAATAAAATAACCTAAAACATGTTTTGACTTTAAAGAAACACATTATTGTTTGAGCCTTAATAACTCTTGTATTATTACATAAAGTTGGTTTTATTATTTATATGTTAATAAGACAAAAAAACTAATCTTATGAATCAGACAAATTAATTTGTTAAACTCATATTTAACAACCAGCAGCCTCTTTGTTTATAGTAACACTATTTTAATTTGTTCAAGATGATTCATAATTACAGGGCTATTCACTGTAGAATCAGGACATTCAGGATATGTAATTAATAAATGCTTAATAATGTTTCATTAGGAGCTGATATGTGACTGATTTACATGCTAATAAAAATTAAACATGATACTTTATTGAACTTTAATCCATTTGTCTGCTGGATGACATAAAGTTTCAGTATATACAGTATATCTTTATTTGCTGGCCTTATTGACCTGTAGATGGAATAAATGTATCAAACAAACCACTTTTAAATCATTCTCTTCRTAAATCCTCCTCTTTCCTTTGCAATCTTAGGTGAAGAATCTGTTGTAATATTTGTGACTGAAGGTGAATTATTTCAGTTTGTAAAAAGCTTCAGACTCTCAGTCAGTCCAGGTTTTTCTCAGCATGAAGGATCTGACAGTACATCTGCATGGAGAAGACCAGGGCCAGAATCTGCAGACACAAGACCACGAGTCAGGCTTCTGACAAGCACCAGGTACACATTAAWGATTTTATACTTTCTAACAGAATCAGAACAACTGAAACATAAAAGTAAAAATGTTTAAAGTTAGATATTAGACAGGGTTCTGTTGTACTGATAAAGAATCACATTCAGTCTGTCACAGACAGAAACAGATAGTTTTAAAAGACAGACAGTATTTGTACCTCAGCATAAGTATACAGACTGCAACACGTCAGTATGCAGAAAGGAACCCAGCTGAAGTCTTAAAGCAGACCTTACAGTCTGTCTTCACCCTCTGCTGGCAGAGAACTTTYGGAGTAAAGTACCTGTACAACACCGATACACACTCCAAACACCAGGACCGACGGGATGTTGTCCAGCAGCCACTGTCGGACCTTCTGATAGCACGGCTGCAGAGGACACAGAGACAAGCTGGTRAGACCAGGGCCCGTATTTATCAAACTTCTTAGYGTGGATTTTTAGACTTAAGTGCTGAAAATTTCTTAGATTTGCTCCTACTCTCAGACTTAAGTYTAAGTGCCAGTTATCAAAAGTCTTAAGTCTAAGAATCACTCTTACTCTCCTGAAAAGTTCAGACTGCTCCAGAGGACTCTTCAGTGGTTAAGAGTTGCCACTGGGGGTCTGAGATGGACTGAAAACAGAGATCACACAGTAAACACAGCTGACCTCCTCCCCACCTGAGGGTTATTCTCAGTTATAAGATGTGGAAAACAGGTTTAATCAGAAATATACAAAAGAAACAAAGGTTAAAAAAAACTGTGCATAATGTTGGACTAAACGGTGGATATTTGTGTGTGGCTTATGGAGAAAATATTAAATATACTGAGTGCCTGAAACCCCGTCTTCACCCCCCAAAAAAAGTTTTTTTAATTAAAAATTATGGTGAGATTTAACGTTTCGTTTATTATATTAACAATCAGGCAATACAATGATGGAGGGGTGGGGGGGTGCGCTCCTCTCAGACCAAGCTGTTAATGACGGAGCGGGTTGTGTGTGCGTGTGCGTGTGTGTAAAGCTGGTGTTGTCTGCAGACAGTGGCGAAGAGGAGAAGGGAGCAGCTCAACATTACCTCAGGCTCTGAGACATAAAATAACTTTAAAGTTYRTGAGTTTTTGATGAAATTMTTTTCATCTGTATTCATGATGCAAATGAGGACATGTTARGTAATTTAGACAATCAGTACAAGGTGACAACATTAGTGTGTTGAAAATGAACTTATTTTAGGATTTTCACAGTCTTATCTTGACATTTCTCCAACATTATTCTTGAACATGAAATCCGAGGCAGTGATTGGTCCATGCTGGTGTTTTTTCTAACGACGTCATCCAGGATCAGCTTTGTGGCACAGCAGGCGTCACAAATCAGCTCTAAGACTGACACTTAAGAATTACTCCTACACTTCACTTAAAGTAAGACTGAGATGCTTCATAACTGACTTTTAKTGTCAGCTTTTAACTAAGAATTATTTTACACTTAAGTCCACTCTTAGAAGCATTCTTAAGAGTAATTCTAAGAAGTTTGATAAATACGGGCTCTGGTCTACAGCCTGACATCACAAACCTGATTTCAAACTTTATCATGTGAAAATGACTGAAGTTTAGCTGCTCTGRTACTCTGAAACCAGATGTTTACATGCACTGTAGAAAACGGCACAACACTGACATTAAATCAAACTAAACCTTTTCTGTTTGAGGTCAGTTGGTGGTCAGGGCTGAAAGGTGCGTGGAAACAAAGGTGGCCTAAAAGTCTGGAMTAGCAGAGAACTACAGTTAGGTATGTATCTACTTAGAGACTGACACGGACAAAACTGGATGAAGGGTTTTAGGAGTTGTTCCAAACTTCCTGCTGTTTGAGAAAGGAGATGTGAGCGGAGCAGCTGAACAAGAAGTTTGAAGATTTCCTGCCCTCCAGTGGGGCTTCWTTAACAGCAGGTTGTTCTGGAGCCTCTAAAGATCAGTGACACCAAGTGGAACTTCGTATTATGAATTGCTTGGTTGGTTTGAACCCTAGGATGCAGGACTGAGTGGTGGTTGCAAAAAAGGTTTGTTAAAGCAAAAAAAAAAAAAAAAAAACAGACAGAAAAAAACAGTAAGGCTGGCATGGCAGCAAACAAGATACAAAGACTCTTGAGCTTAGCATGAGACAACACCAACAGTTAACAAAGGTCTGACACAGACTGAAGAAACATGAGGAACAGGTGAGAGTGGGCATGACTTTATCAAAGACAGGCAGGAGGTGGTAAACAGAGAGAGGGACAAGACAGAAAACCAGACCAGAACCAAAATAACACAAGAACCCAGACAAACCATAACACTGAGAAGTTTTTGGTGGGATCTGATGGGAAGCCAGTGATGAGGATACCTGTGCATCAACGTATCTGAAGTCTGAGCTGACATCCACACCTTCAACTCTACACCCAGTCTGTCTTTAAATGTGATTATTAATATRGTCTGATGAAGTAACTGTGATGTGTGCACATTTTGAGATCAGACTGTTAGGGGGTTTGTTAGACTGGAAAAGGACATGTTGGACTGGAACAGGACGGGAAGTTGTACTTTTGTAGTTTTTGTCAATATGAAAAATCAACCTGTCAGCCTACTGTAATTGGTAATCAGCAATACTGAGACAGATGGTGTATTGATTTGGACTTGTCCAAAGGAGTCAGCATGATGGATCAGTGGTTAGCACCGACACCCCACAGCAAGAAGGTCCTTGGTTCAATTCCCGGTTCGGACCTGGGGTTTTTCTGTGCGGAGCTTGCTTGTTCTCCTCATGCTTGTGTGGGTTTTCTCCAGGTACTCCGGTTTCCCCCACCCCTAAAAACATGTACAATAGG